CACAAATGTTGCAAACTGATCGGAAATACCTGGTTTTATCCTCTTTGCTATCTCTGTTGTTGTTGTTTTTGTTGTTTTTGTAGGTTACTTGTGTTATGGTATTATAGTATAGTTTTATATTATCAAGAATGTGTACTATCTAAATTTCATTGATATGTATACTTTGTTATTCATTATATTTTATTTAAAAGCGCTTCTTGTTTTACTGTGCTCTGCTGTCGACGAGCGTCATTGTCTTTTTAATATTTCATTTATGTAGCGGTACCGAGGCCTCGTCAGACCTTCTGATATTTTGCCTTGGTACTGCCGCCAAATGTATTGTCTGAACAAACTAAAAAAAAAAAAAAAAACACTCTTCCGTTCTCCCACTAGCACAAGTTCTGTAATGGTTTCATGAACCTCTGAGGCGTGAACCATTATTCTTAAACTTTGTGTCATACATCGAAATCGCCGCGATGTTTTAATTTTTTTGTATTTAGAAGGAACAAGATTACTACAGAAACTGATCTAAATATTTTCCCGTTTAAATAGACATCGTTTCGGAAGAATTTTGCTTTAAATCTCCTCGATTTTATGAGAAATAATTAAATGTAAATGTGCTCAAACAACAGTGGTCAGTGTCATAGCATCCTATGCAGTTTATTTTATTGTTTAAATGTAGAAGTCCATGTCTGCTTGTGACACGAGGACTCAATATTTGGAATAACATGCTGCTAGTGTCTTGGTTCCAAAAATACCTCCTCAACAACCAAAGTTGATTTCTTCCCTGTGTTGCTGCTTTCATACTTCACTTCACTAATTTTATATAATGTAGTAGTTAGACAACTTCTAATTCTTCAAAAAACGAAAGTTATTTAGCTTTCATTTTCAAGGTGCTGGATGTGCATGAAACAACTGAATGTTTCCCTAATATTTTATTGATAAATGACTTCGTCTCAGTGTTGAGATATTGGAAGAGAACTTTGTAAGGTTGAATATTATTGACTGTTATGTAGTAAGCAATAAATGTTTATTAAAATAAGCAGATGTGTGCTCCTTATAACCCAGAAATTGCGTGGATCTGATCGCTTTTTTCTTCCTGCACCAGTCGGGTTCCAAATATTAACAAACATCTTGTGTTTTGGTTTACAAACAATTATTCCGCATATAACGCAATTGGGTGCATGCATACTTATATTAAAAAGTACGTGTTAAAATCTCACTGTGGATACATCTTAGTTAAAACGCACACGATATTCTGGTGGTCGCAGAATACAGGTTCATTCTTCAACGACAAAAAGAGGGGATGTGTGCAGCGTATAAGCTTGACAAACTCTCCCGCATATACTGCGACATATTTTGTCATCCTATTTTTTTTAAGACCAAACAGGTAGGTGTTTGAAAGGCAGTCGGAAATGATTATATTAGTTTGAAAATGTTCCTCGCACACAAATAATGTTTTTGCAAAGTACCTGTTCTTTCCGCTTCAAATTGAACCCGCCCTGTCCCTCGGGACACGCTCTTCGTTCGAGCTCCCGCTGCCTGCCTACATGAGCAACCCGACTTCCGTCCAACCGCAAAGTAGTGTCTGTCGGCCTTCTTCTAGTTACTATCACTCATGTCACCAGGGAAAAAACAACATATGAAAAACTGTACACGAAAGGGCACGTTCGAAATACCGCCAAGAATAATGCGTTCACGCAAGAGGGGCAAAACCACTTGCCGTTCCTCTGAGCTAAACCAAGCGCGTCCGCCTTTTATTCCCTTAGAAAATTCGACTACAGTGCCCCGTCTCACCCTCGCGGATTTGAACGTCGTCCCTCTTCACACTGCTCATCGCAAGCAGCCGCCGCCCTTTCCATAACAGATCCTCTTGATAACTGTACAAAATAACCGTATTTTTTATCAGCGCAAAATACACTACTCGTCGGCGAACCCTTCGCCTGCGTCCATATGGTACTTTAGCGGTTGGGACAAGATGCCAACGCTTCATAACCTACCGTTTTTTATTACAATATTATGAAGACATTTTTTAAACTGATGTTTTTTTTAATATGTATGACGATTTGCGATATCCGAAAATATCTGGCGATGAGCGGTGTCCGGTACTAGGAAGGGGCACCCTTCCGAATACTTGCAACGTTCAAACTCGTACCGGAAACATGCAACGTACTGAACATCGTTAATAAATTTGATATAAAATTTAAAAAAAAAATTCTTAAACCTTTGGCATTATGGTCCCAAGCGCTAGAGCGACATTTTATGAAAAAGAAATCTTTGCAGCGTTCACTTGTGACGGGATATACTGAAATAACAGAACATGAAAAATAGAACAATAGAGATTAAACTCAAAATGCAAACAACATCAGAGAGGGACAGACCTTTTTAAAGTTCGATGTCTTTCAAAACGCACTTTATTGTTTTTTACGTTGAAAAACGCAATGGCCGATGACGCCAAGCAAAGCAGCTGCGTAGTTTTCTTTTCTTTCTTCTGCACGTTTCGTTGTACAATTGCATAAAACAACAAACATTTACATGTACCTCTGTGGACGTGGTTGAAAAAATTTCATACGGAGTGACTGCAGAGAAGAAAGTCTAAGGTACAGCAGCTGCTGTCTACGGTACAGTAGTATCCTACTTCGCTGATTTTATTGTCGAGGTGGAGTGAAACTTCTGCTCCGATGATTATTTAATAACCTTTCGATACCGATTCCTCTCATAGCACCTACGGGAGTAAATTTGTTGAATTAATTTATTGACCTTAAGTTGTACATGTATTTTTCTACATAGACCCAGATCACTGTAAACAAATACTGGGCCAAAATAAAAACTATTTTTGGGAAGTTATTGCATTTACAATTTTGATACGCAATCTGTTTTTCAAGTGAAAATATCAACAAGAACAATAAGTCCAAATCTTACCCGAATGGATCCGAACTACTCCGGCGGAGCGTATTACGTGACAGCACAGATTGAAACACGCTGGACGCGGGTAGGTTTTAGAACGCCAGGGGTACAAAACCTTTACCCTGGAGTAAGATCGAGTAAATTTTGGAACACGGCCTACGTGTGTGACGTCGGCTGAAAGCAAAGGTTCACTCTTCGTACCGTAGACTGTTCCCAACTGATTACAAAGCAGTTTCGTGGTATGAAATGAATGCTTTGGAATCTCGGTTCAGCACCCGCTCAGTAGCACGAAAAAAATGCTGCGAATAGTCCATTTTTAAACTGGTCGGTTGACCACTCAGCATGTGTTCCACAGGCCTCACTGAAATGAAAGCCGAGCGTAAATTTGAGCGCTTGTTTTGTCATCTTTTTTCACTCGCCGATTTCACACGGTCTATTCACTATTTCGAGATACCAAATGGCATAACGGAAAAAGTAAATGCCGATATTTTGAATCTAAATTTAGTTGGGGTTCATGAAAACAAATTTTGGGAGGACTCCTTCAAGTAAGTCATATTAGAGGATGCATTACACAAAGGGGAATCATAACAGATAGCACATGCTTCATAATTCATGATTAAAAATGAAAGGAAACAAAACCAGGTGTTGCAGATTGGAAAGAATTTGAAGCTCACAAGAAAAGGAGAAGAAAGACGAAGTTTAGAGTCACGAGCGGAACGAGGCGAACGACAGAAGCCGACCGAGACACTTCCCTGTAATGATGTATATTCAATTGATTTATTAGTGTAAATACAGTTTGTGTTTTGTTTTTACGTTAATTGCCTGATTTAAATACGACGCCCACACGACATCTTTGATTCTGAGACATCATGGTGCCGAAACCCGGGAGCGAAAACGATTGAGGTGAGCGGATTTTCCCCCTTTGTGGAACACCTGCCTGGAACGCTGTTTCCGAGAGCTGTGTGGGAGATCGTCAAACATGGAACATCTCAAGGCAAAACGTGGAGTGAAGCGGTCGCAAAACACGAAAATTATCCACGAGGCGAAAGCGGGGATGGAGACAGCGGACATGCCGTCGCTGACTGCCTGGCTAGAGAGGCTGTAGGCCAATAACAGGGCACTTCAGAAGTTGAACGTGGAGATAGAAGATCATGTGTGGGAACACGACCTCGTCGCAGAATACACTACGATCACGGAGTACGACGACGAGGCCATCCGAATGATGACGCTGTTGGACTGCAAGGCTGACTCACTGAGACGTAAAGAACAACAGACACAGGCCGCCCAGATCACCACTTCCGCGACAAGCGTGAAGCTTCCCAAGTTGCAACTTTAAACATTCAACGGCAAATTCAGCGCGTGGCAGAGCTTCTGGGAGCATTTCAGTCTTGCTATCCAAGAAAACGATGCATTCCACGATCGGACAAGTTTCAGTACCTGCGCAACCATGTCACCGGACCAGCGGCGGCGGCCATCACTGGGCTTCAGGCAACTGACGCCTGCTACGACGATGCCATTGAAATCCTGACACTGCGCTTCGGTGATAAACAAAGCATTGAGCAAAATCATCTGGCGAATCTCCGAGCACTGCCTCCTGTTGCCTACGCAAAAGACACGAAAGGCCTCCAAAAGATGTACATCACGTTCAGACGAACATCCGCGGTCTGAATGCGCTCGGCGTGGGATCGGCAACGTACTGCACGATGATATCCGATTTCCTCCTCAAGGCCTTGCCGAGCGAGGTCGTCGTAAATTATCACAGACAGCAGGCAAGCAGCACTGCCTACAGGTCGTCGGGAGAAACGCAAAACAGTCGGACTTCACTGACTTCACCTGCGGCGCCGGACACCGGACAGGCTGACAACGGACCACTTTCCACCCGGGGCGCTTCAAGGCCACCCTCTTTCGCCGATGCCGAAGATAAGCTCGCCGATATTCTAAGCTTCGTTCGGATTGAGGTTGAGAGTAGGGAGAGAGCCGGAGTAGTAGAAAGAACGGCAAGAAACGCAGAAGAAAAGGACTGAAAGACCCAGAATGCCAGCAGCCTCTGTGCTACATGCAAATATCACAAGCCCCTGCTTCTTTTGCCGGTCCACCAAGCACGCAACAGAAGTATGTACTGGCGACCTCACGTTAGAGGCGAAGAAAAGGAGGCTGGCGGAAGAAAACCGCTGCTTCAGATGCACAATCGGAAGGCACCGGGCGAGGGAGTGTCGGCGGAAGGTGACATGCGCGTCGTGCTCCGGTCGACGTGCCACATCCATGTGCGACTCGAACTGAAAACCTAACGTGAAGAAATCTATTAGAGGTGCCCCTGCGACAAGCGTCCAGAACGCAATCTCCGACAGTACTGACGTCCCATTGGATTTCGAAGTGCTTCTTCAAACGTTCCGAGCCTGGGCTGAGGAAGGCAACCAAAGACTTTACGTGCGAGCCATTATCGATGGAGGTAGCCAACGGACGTTCATTCGTGAGGATCTTTCTCGCAAACTCGACCTCAAAGTTCTGGGAGATGTTAGCCTCCGGCTAAATACGTTCGACCACTCCACGTCACGACCGCAACGTCGGCGACTAGTGCAAGTACGGTTGCACAGCCAATACGGCCAAGAAGAGTGCGTCATCGAGGCCGTCGAGGTACCCTTCATTTGTAAGGACGTTGTGCAGGTACCCGTCGACCACGAATTTGTGCGCCGTAAGATGAAAAACGGCCGTCGTATTGCGGACATGCTTTTCTCCCCTCTGGCCACTGCTGAAGAGGGCATTTCCCTTCTGGTCGGTTCAGACCAGATGTGGCGAGTGAACGGTGACCAAGTGCTGCATTGCAAGAAAAATCAGAAGCTGGTAGCTATAAGCACCATTTTTGAGTGGACCTTTCAGGGCCCAGTGTCAAACCACAGATCTCTCAAAGGCAGCACCAGCAGCATGGTATGCGTGCTAAGAACGAAATGCTCCAGGAACGAGAACGTCGGAGACATCCTGCGGCGTTTTGGGGAGCTAGAGAGCATCGGCATTTCTGACCAGCCCTCCAACAAGATGGAAGAAGAGAACGAACTGCTGAACGAGTTCAGCCGAACAATACGGAAAGTGAATGGGTTGTACGGAGTGGGTCTACCATTCAGGGTCGTCGCGGGAGAACTGAAGGATAACCACAGGCTGGCATTGAAAAGTCTTGAGAGTTTGAAGAAGAGATTGTCACGCGACGAGTCCTTCGCAAAAGATTACAACTTCATATGCAGCTACATCACCTCAGGACACGCAGAAAAGGTTTCAACGAGCCCATTGTGCGCCGAGTCGACGAACCCACGGATTTATTATGTGCCCCATCAGCCCGTAATCCGGAATGAATCCGAAACCACCAGGCTGAGAGTCGTCTTCGACGCTTCTTCTCATCTCCCAGGAGTTGTCTCACTCAACGAACACCTGGAAAAGCGGCCGAATCCCAACGCTGATCTGGTCAGAATCTTGGTGCGCTTCCGTCTACACCCAATCGCTCTAACAGCGGACATAGAAAAGGCGTTTCTGCAGGTCAGCGTTCGACCTGAAGATCGAGACGTCCTGCGCTTCCTGTGGTTCCAAAGAGATTCGTCGTCAGCAAGCTCAGAACTAACCGTTGAAGAGTGGAGGATGACGAGAGTGCACTTTGGGACATCGGCCAGCCCATTTCTACTAACGGCCACTCTTACTCATCATCTGAGCAACGTCAAGGGAGAATTGAGATCGACTGGGGAACAGCTTCAACGGGGATTCTACGTCGACGACCTCCTGATCGGAGCCCCCACTATCGAAGAAGCGGCGCGAATACAGGAACAATCCAACCAGATTTTAGAAGATGCAGGAATGAGACTCCGAAAGTGGTCTACCAACGCGACAGAACTGCAAAGATCGTTCGATAAAGCTGCATCAACGTCTGCACTCTCTGAGCCGACAGCTGTACTTGGACTGCTTTGGCGACGTGACGCTGACACGCTGGCCATTCCTGTGGAGAGGATCCTGAACTTCGTCACGTGCAGCGGCACGACGACGCGCTATGTACTCCGTGCAGCAGCTAGGGTTTTCGACCCGTTGGGACTTCTTGCTCCATTCGTCATACGAATCAAGGTTTTGTTTCAGCGAATCTTGGGAGCGAGGAATTGGTTGGGAGGACGATTTACCGGACGACCTACTGGTGCAAAGGCGGCGATGGTGCGCAGAACTTCCACAATTAGAAGAGATAGTGATTCCTCGCTGCATCGTGAAGACGCCAAGAGAAGTCATATATTCTGTCCAAGTACACGTCTTCTGCGACGCAAGTCCGGTGGCCTATGGCACTTGTGCCTACCTGAGAGCTGAAGGAGAAGATGGGAGGGTAGAGGTGAACTTGATATTTTCGAAATCACATGTGGCGCCCATAATGCGGATAACACTACCTCGACTAGAACTAATGGCTGCAGTGATTGGAAGACGGATGGGCCAGTGTCTTGGAGGGATCATAAATATTCAAGAAACATTCTACTGGACCGATAGCGCTATCACACTTCACTGGATCCGCGGGTCAGCAACTCAGTGGAAGCCCTTTGTGCCAAATCGAGGGGCAGAGCTTTAATCTGGAGGGTGACCTTCTACAAGGATGCATTGCCCGGGACAAGAAAATCCGGAGGATTTGGTTACACGGAGAATATCTGCGGAAACTCTAAAAGGTACGCAACTGTGGTGGAAGGGTCCAAAATGGCTTGGTAAGACCGAAGACGTATGGCCGAACCTCGTCATGGGCGACGACGTTCCAGGACCAGTTATTGCAGAAGAGGGAAAGCTGAAACATCACGTAATGCAGACGGCAACAGAGGGTACGGGGCGCTGGAAAGGATCCTCAGGATGACTGCATGAATTATGCGGTTTGTAAATAACTGCCGTACGCTGCCAAACCGACGTGAGGGCCCACTAGCGTCCGAAGAACTTGAACGAGGCGAGATTTGGTGGATCGCATGAACGCAACAGGAAGCTTTTACACAAGAATTGAACGATCTAAGGGCAGATAAGAATCTGGAAAGGCGATCCAGCTTAGTCTCGCTCGCCCCCTGCGTTGACCCCAATCGAATGTTAAGGGTGGGGGGGACGACTGCAACAATTAAACCAAACAATCGACGTCAAGTACCCGCTTTTGCTACCTCCCGATCACCGCTTCACTGAGTTATTGGTAAGAGACTGGCACCGTCGAACACTGCACGGCAGACTTCAGGACACCTTAACCCAAGTCCGAGAGCGGTTCTGGATACCACGAGCAAGACAGCTGGCGAAAAAGGTCATAAAAAAATGTAGTGGTTCTCGGTTGGCCCGACTCAAGCCGGCTAACGCTCCGAACGCACTTTCGCCGCAGGATCGGATTACCCAAGCAAGTCCTTTTGAGGTGGTCGGGATCGATTCTGCCGGTACACTGATGGTAAAGACTGCAGCATCAGATGAAAAGTCGTACAATGCGCTTTTCACATGTGCGGTGACGAGAGCCATACACCTAGAACTTGTCTCCAACCTATCGACAGAGGCGTTCATCATGGCCTTCCAGCGCTTTGCTGCTCGACGGGGCTTACCCAGCGTCGTTTACTCAGACAATGCCCTCACCTTCAAGAGGGCAGCAAAGGACTTATGCGGCGTATGGGACGTTGTCACGAACCGACGCTTACAGGACCACTGCTCACAGCATCGGATAAAGTAGAAGTTTATCGCCGAGAGAGCAGCCTGGTGGGGCGGGTTCTAGGAAAGGATGGTCCAGACAGTGAAGCGTAGTCTACTGAATATACTAGGAAGGAATAAGTTTAGTTTCGAAGAACTGACAACCATGCTACACGAGGTAAAAGCCGTCGTGAATTCTCGATCTTTGGCCCCTGTTCTCGACGCTCCACACGAGCAGGATGCTTTAACGACTGCGCACTTCTTGTTGGGCAGGCGTCTGACGGCTTTCCCATCAGTCAACGTAGAAGCTATGCCAGGTTCTGTGAGAGGGGACATCACCAGGCGTTGGCTACACAGGCAGCAACTGCTGGACCAATTCTGTCGGAGATGGCGGAAGGAACGCCTCATTCAGCTCCGCTCCGCACACCGGTCGCCCGAGACGTGGACAAACAACCTACAGAACGGGAACCTCGTTCTTGTTCACGAGGACAAGACCCCACGGCTCATGTGGAAAACGGGGAGGATCGAAACAGTTCAGCTGGGCAGAGACAACCACGTGCGTTCCTGTCTGGTGCGCCTACCAAGCGGGGTAACGCTTCGGCGCCCCGTGCAGCTCCTTTACCCCCTGGAACCGGCAAGTGAATGAATGAAGGCAAATCTCACGCGAAAAAAAAAGAGAGGGGGGGGGGGGGACGTAGGATGTTGCAGATTGGAAAGAATTTGAAGCTCACGAGAAAAGGAGAAGAATGAAGAAGTTTGGAGTCACGAGCGGAACGAGGCGAACGACAGAAGCCGACCGAGACACTTCACTCTAATGGTGTATATTCGATTGATTCATTAGTGTAAATACAGTTTGTGTTTTGTTTTTACGTTAATTGCATGATTTAAATACGACGCCCACACGACCTCTTTGATTCTGAGACACCAGGAGAACGAAATGAAACCGGGTTTCAGTCACTTGAGATGCGCTCAGTAAAGTGATAATAGCAATACCGAAAAAGGTTATACCTGAACACACGCACGCGCACAAACATTTTATCAGTCTCACATGTCAATGATTAAGCAAATACAAGTGTGGGTCAGATGTCGTGCAGTTGTTTCTATTGACTTTTAACTGAAAGGGCTAACCGAGTGGTTCGAATTGTTTAGGTAAATTTCTCCCGTCGTTGATGGAAAGTGCTTGCAGATGAAGCAAGCTGCTTTTCTGAACGAATTCTCTCGAAAAAAATATAATTTTCATGTGAGCTCCAAATGGGTCTTTCGTAGTAACCCGTATGGAAATCTTATATCTGGGCCATATCTGGCCATATCAAACATTATATGATTATATACGGCCTATATATTGCCATATCTGGCGTATATACAGACTTATCTGGCGTATGTAGAGCCTGATATGGCGTATATACAGACTTATCTGGCGCATATACAGACTTATTTGGCATATATACAGCCTGATATGGCGTATATACAGACTTATCTGGATGCCGGTTTTCAATATATTAAAAAAGTTAAAAAAGTAAAAAAATTCTTTGTTAGCAAACTCTGAATGACTCCATGTTCGCGAGCTAAATATTAGCACAAATGATCCCAAACCTCAGCTTTGACAAGCTTAAGTTTGAAATTATTTGTGCTAGTTTTCACGAGGATTTCAATGTAGCTTAATTATTTCAATGTGTTGACATTACGCCCGAATAGACAATTTGCTAAATCCCCCAAGCGCCTCGGCCTCCACTCCAGGAATCATGGAGACGGTGTTTCTTCGGCTGCCCAGTGATCGAAAATTTCGGGCAATTCTATGGTTACACACATTTGACAGTGATTCGGAGTCACCTTGAACACGTGCCGTACAGAACCCAAATACCTGCCATGCCACTTTTAAAATGTCCCGTTAATGTCATTACTGTGCATTCCGTCCAACCTTCAACCTGGATGAGCTGCAGAGATATTTCTTACATTCTTATCATTCTCATACAGCTCCTAAGACGCTGATATTAAGTTAGAAACGCAAAAAATGTCATAAACAGCTCCGCTGAATCCGAGCTAAACCCCGGTTGTGGTTTTTGTGATTCCTCGGCTTTTAAGTAATTCTTGGTAAAACGACAATCACGAGAATGATAATATGGTAAGAGATTTCGGCGGCTCAGCTTGGTTGAAGGTTGGACAGAAAGCATAAACGCTGCCATTGACGAGAAAATTTAAAAGTGATATGACAGGTACTTGAGCCCTTTGGGACGCTTGTTCAGGGTGACTACGAATTACACTCGAAACAGTGTAACCATGGAATTGGTCAAAACTAGCGATCACTAGGGTGCTGAAGGATCACCGTTTCCATAACTCCTCGAGTGCAGGCCGGGGCACTTGGGAGCAATGTAGACATTAAAAAGATATAGAGTGCTGATTTCAGGCTTGTGTCCTATTGAACTGCAAGGCCAGATCTGGAATTTCCTTACTTAGCCAGATCTGGAATTTCCATACCTGATTTTCAGGCTATATCTGGCATTATGAGGCTATATCTGGCAGATATACTATATCAGGTTATATGTGGCCAATTTTTGATATGGCCATATCTGAAATCTTCAGATCTGGCCAGATATAAATTTTTTGTATGGGAAGTGAGTGGTGTGTATATTTGTTCCGCCGGATATTAGTCAGCTTTAATAGGCATCTGGTGTCTCCTACTGTAGTTCAGAGATATAGTGTGTGTGGTACAAGTGCAAGCCTGGGGTCCTTAACGTGCACCACGCAGTACTGATACACGACCACCCACCGGTACGATGCTCAGAGAGGTCGAAACGGGCAGGGGTACTAAATTAACCCAGGATCCATAGATCTTGAAGCTCGAGCTGTGGCTCCACGGGCTCCAAGCTGCTGTGCTTCAGCCCCGTCGGCCACCGATCCCTTTGACTAGTCTAATTTAGAGAGGAATAATATTATGTATGCGATCAATTTGTTTTCAGGTGTGGACAATAAACGATTTGTCTTAAAAGGGCAAATCGTTTTGTATTTTAGTGTTTTGCTTGTAAGATGAGCTTATCTCACTGTAGTGTATGCGAAATGTATGTACGAATACATGTATCGTGATACTTGTTCCAGTTGTAATTATAAGGTCTGCATTGTGTCAGCTCCTGGTGAGTACTTAGTTGCATATGCTTCCATTTGGTAGTGTTTATTTTCATTTCACATAGGGGTCACAATGACGATATATAATTGAAATCGTGTTGAAGAATGACGAAAATAATCCCTGGAGAAGGGGAACAATCAGAATGTTGAAGATCATTCTGATTATTGTGAGTAGTGATTTACTGTAAATGACGCAAGTGTGCGCAAAATGTCTAATTTAGGATTATATGGCAGAATGCAGTACATTTATATAGATTATAACTAAGAACTGCCCGAAGGCATTACATGGGATACACAGGATAGAAGAGTAGTAAAACGCAATGTTGATTTTTTATTGTTTTCGTATTTTTAATAAGAGGGGATATCCAGTTTTATACTGTCAGATCGATGCCTTGTTTTAAGTGCTTTAGACGAAGGCGGTGATGGGAAAATATATTAAACTTTTTAGCGAATTCAATAAAGATAATATCAGGCTGAGCTGTCAAGTTAGTTTTAATCTTAAGGTATATTTCAAATTGGAATAGTTGAGTAATACATAGCTGCGATATCGAAACACATGTTCGTAAGCACATAATTAATTAAAAGCACCTAGACGTGAAAATATGAGTATACAAAACATGCTCCATGAGCTTGAATGGCACACTGGCGAGCAAGATGGCGCAATAACTTGTAGGACAGGAATGGTGTCCTGTTTTAGAAATTAGTACTGCTTGGGCATAAAGCTTATCAAGAGGAAACATGCCGGAGTGAAGGGAGTGTTGAAATATTTTGCTAGGAATGTAGAATGCAGCTTACTATAGGCCATCTAATTATAGATCATACTTTTTTGGTAATCAGGTGCTCTCCTTGCATGCAGATTTTTTATTTGGTTTATATATATTTGAAGCTTTATATTATAGGTAGCGCAGTTGAGTAATAATGATTCTGCTTCCCTGGTGAATAAGATGAAAAATGTAAATTAGCAAATTTGTAGCTTAAAGATAAATTAGGTTATTTTGTATGTTGATTAAAACTTCAGATAACTGAAGCGTCTGAACGTTTCCCTTTGCAGCAACGCCTCTCCGTAGAGGAACTCCGGAACCCACGTCCCTTACAGTTCCTGCGACGAAAGACAGAGCTTCTTGGAGAACATGCTAAGACCATTGAGGATGTTTTGCTCCGGGAACTGTTCCTCCAGTGACTGCCAACAGACGTCCAGACGGTACATGCACCTGTAGCGCCCTCAACCTTCTGGAACTCGCCGGTTTAGCTGACGTGGATAGGGATGTCTCAGCCCCGTTCTCCGCTCACTTGGCCACCAGGACCACCCAGTCAGCAGGAGGTGTCCGCAACATGGCGTAGGACGTCCAGACCTCAATTATGTCCCAAGGCTACCTTGACCAGCTGTGCAAACGGCTCGAGCAAGTTATCCTCACGACGCGGAGATTCTGTGCGTTATTCCCACTGAGGGTGGCGCTCTATATTCCCCCGAACTGACAGCGACAGCTCTGGTGGATATCACTCATCAGGTCTCTGCTACTGCCACCACCGTTACGGCCCGATCCAATTTGCTGCCAGCGCTCCTACGCGTGGCCAAAAAACCGTCCCGCCCACCGCTAGAGTCAACGAGTGGTCCGATTCTACGAAATAGTCGCCTTTTCCACGTAACCGACGTACAAGTAACCCTGTCTGCCTCTTACAAGCTGCGAACGGCACGTTCATTTCAGTGTGCACGGACCGTTCACTTTCTCTAAGTCTTGGCTTTTGACGATTTTTTAGTGGATATTCCAGGCGGCTGAAGTAGGTCAAACCATCCTTGGCGCAGACTTTCTCGAGCACCATTTTCTGCCAGTCGACGTCAAGAGAAAACGCCCATTTCTATATACCGGGAGTCGACAAGACGAAAACTCCGGTGTTTCCATCCCCATGCACTCAATGCAAGGTCCTTTCCAAGCAACACTCCTTGACTTTTCGTCACCTATGTGACCACCGAATGGATCAAACCTATTGAATAAGATGTCACATATCACATACGAGCAACAGGTCCACCGGATTTTTTCCGCCCAAGTCCTCTAGCTCTGGAGAAGCATTAAATTGCTAGGGCCGAGTTCGACCATAGGCTTGAGCTCAGAAAAATCGGAGAATCCTACAGCAGTTGGACACCTCCGTTACACATGGTTTCCAAGAACAACGGGGATTGGCGACAATGCGTGGATTACCGCGGTCACGAAAAAAACACCATTCCAGACCGGTACCATCTCCCAAACATCCAAGATTTCACCATCAATCTTTGAGGTTGACGTTCTTCTCGAAGGTTGACCACACCCAATCTTACCACCAAATTCTGGTAGCTAACGACGATATTGCCGCGCGGGCAGCTGGCCAAGTGGACAGCGCGCGCGTGGCATAACGGTTAGCGCCTTTGCTTTCCACGCAAAAGGCCGGGGTTCGATCCCTGGCCTCGGCTACTAATTTTTGTTGACACTGTAATGTGATGTTCTAGTGAATTCGAGAACCATCTTGCTGATTCGAGGTTAGAATGTTCTA